AGAGCCCTCGCGCACCACCACCCCCTCCCCCCCCAGCAGGACACAGGCACAGAGCCCTCGCGCGCGCCCCCCACCCGCGGGACACGGGGCTCAGCCACCACGCCCATCCTGAGCGCTTTTTGGCCCACCCCCCTGGGACTCCTGCCCCATCCAACCCGCCGCGTTCCTTGACGCCCCATCCACCCCCTTCCCTGTCCCCTGACCACCCTTGGAACCCCTGCCCCTGACTGCCTCCCACTGCCCCAATCCAACCCCTGCTCCTTCCTGACTGCCCCCGGGACCCTTGCCCCCATTCAATCCCCCTGAACTCTCCTGCCCTCTGACCGCCCCGACCCCTATCCACCCCCCACCACCCCCCTGAACTCCCCTGCCCTCTATCCAACACCCCCTCCCTGCTCACTTACCGCGCTGCCTGGAGGTGGCTGGCGGCGCTACAGCTGAGCCGCTCAGCTGTAGCTGGGCCACGCCGCCACTGTGCAGTGCCTGGAGCACCGGGTCAAGCTGAGCTTACAGCCTCCCCGCTTCCCATGAATCAGCTGTTCGCGCTGGAAGCCTGGGAGGGCTGAGAAGCAAGCGGCGGCTTCGCGCTCCGGCCCAGGGAGGCGGAGCAGAGGTGAGCTGGGGCCGGGGAGTGGGGCAGAGAGCTGGAGCACCCATGGGGTCGGCTCTTAAGGTGCCACTTTTGGATAATGTGCTCAGGGGGAGCAGCCGCTCCCTCTGCTCCCTCCCAGTTACGCTCCTGGTCACTTCAACTTACTGGATTTTAAATTTAGAAGCCCTTTCAGAACCGGTTGTCCCGCGCAGGTCAACTGGTTCTAAAAGGGCTTCTAACTTTAACAACCGGTTCCCGCGAACCGGTGCGAACTGGCTCCAGCTCACCACTGGAGACTCCCCTTTCCGCTCTCAACCTAGGAGCCACAGACCTCCCAGCAGGGCTGGTGAGTGCAGCCAGGGAAGGGTGTGGTGGAGTGAATGTCTGGGAGGTGTGAGGGGGGTGCTGGGCTGTGAGGGAAGTTTGTGTGTTTTGGGGTGCTAGGCAGTGGGGGAGATCTGTGTGCGTCAGGGCACTGGGGGTTTGTGTGGGGCATTGTTTAGTTGTGGTGGTGGGGCTGTGGGGAAGGACACTGGGAGGGAGGGAGGAGAAATCTGTGTGTATTGGGAAACTAGCAAGTGGGGGGTTCTGTGTGGGATGCTGATGTGTATTAAGAGTTACCAGCTGGATTGCGGACTGATAGATCTGAACAGAGTTTATATTGAATGGGCAAATGAAAAAGATTGCAGGGAAAAACAGTAAGGTTAGTTTAGCAGTCTTTGACATTTTGACCAATAAGGAAATTAAAATGCATTTGTAATTACATATTATTCTTGGCTGATAATCATTTATTGATATTTTTTAGGAAAATTTTCAATTTAAAACACAAACTTTTGTTTTTCTTTTTTTACTTATGAGGTCTCTATCTGAAAACCCATATAAATTGACACAAATTGCAAATTAAAGCTTTTTAAATGTATAAAGCATTTTACTCACTT